ATGACATTGGAGATGAATATTTTCAACATTTGCTAGCAACCTGGAGATGATAATGATTTACAAGAAGTAAAAATGAATTGGATGAATCTGAAGATTTGCAAATGATTTATTCTGAGGAAGAAATCTCGGATGAAAAGCGCACCGAAAATGTTGATGCGAATCTTTTGTCAATAGTGACAACAGATTCGACATCTGACATCACACCAATCGATGATTACTTTCCTAACGAATCCTTACTTTCTCTTAGTCCAATGCCTTGGTATGTTAAAAATATTAATTTTCTTGCTTTAGGAGATTTGCCAGCTGATTGGAGTACCCAAGACAAAGAAAAGTTTTTGAACGAAGTGAAGAACTTTTATTATGGTGACCCTAACTTATTCAAATATTGTCCTGATCAAATATTTCAAAGATTCATTCCCGACAATGAGTTTCTCTCACCCCGGTCAAATGGCGGACAACGGTACTCCGTGACTTAAGTCGGTTCTTTCAGTTTCCCATAATAACTGATATCTGTGTATATATTTGTGCAATTCTTTGAATCTCTCCTCCAATTATCATTTGATAATGGACACTAATCTTGAAAAATTGAAAAGGTATTTTTCCGCTCTGCCTCAGAATGCGATTACAAAAATTTACCGTGCTAGATGTACAAGATTGAGATTGTTAATGAATCATGGAATTCTTGAAGATATTCGCTGGTTGATTGAAGCAAAGGTCCGATTATCAGGTGAGTCCTCTAACTTCTTCATTTCACACATGCCTGGAATAGGTAAAAGCACTTTTGCAAAGAAGCGTCGTGCAAAACGACTAGAAGTCTGTCATCGATGTGCTAGATGGACTTGTAATACACAATGTGGTTCTTTAGGAATGGTATCTATAAACCGTGAAGATAAAATACAATTCATTAAGGATGGCCTGAGTAAGGAGTCTTTAGATAATCTTCTATTGACTCTTGAGACGCATCCTAGTGGAGATGTGCATCATGCAATTTATGATTTATGGCCACTATTTCATAAAGAACATGCTCGACATAGTCTTGGGAATCTGACTAAAAAAGACCCTGTTTGCCAGTTTTTAAGAAAACTGGATGGGAAGCCTATCCCCAACCCATAGAGAGTTTTTAAGAAAACTGGATGGGAAGCCTATCCCCGACCCATAGAGGGCGTTTAAGCCGTTCTTGGACGTAAAACCAAGGGAAGATGTGAGCCACAATCACAACTACCTGTACATATACATGCTTGTTTAAAAGTAAATAAATAAATAAAGAGAGAGAGTGTGTGTGTGAGACTCCAGCTGGCCTACACATAGGTGGTATGATTGCCCTTTTAATTTCTCATCTATAAAATCCTCTCTTCTTTCCCTTCATTTCTACTCAACCCATACATTCAACAAATATAGAAGTGTGTAGAAATGGCAAGTTCCTCAAGTCATCAAATAAAAAGTATTTGTGTTTTCGGTGGATCTAGTCCTGGGAAAGAAAAGGAGTTTTTAGAATCTGCAAATCATCTTGGTCAGGTGCTAGTTGAGAGAAAGATTCATTTAGTGTATGGGGGAGGCAGTCTGGGGTTAATGGGAGGTGTGTCAATAACTGCATTTTTAGGAGGTAGTCAAGTTTTGGGGGTCGTCCCTGAAGCTTTGGCACAAGGGGACATCATTGGAAAAACAATTGGAGAGGAACTTCAGGTCTCCACAATGTCGGCTCGAATGAATGCAATGTTTAACCATGCTGATGCTTTCATTGCTTTACCAGGTGGTCTAGGCACATTGGAAGAGATCTTTCATATTTCCTCTTGGGCTCAATTGCACATTCACCATAAACCCATAGGTTTGTTAAATGTTAATGGTTATTATGATAAGTTGTTGTCTTTTCTTGATCATGCTGTGGAACAGGAATTTCTAACATCTTCTGCACGACAAATCATAATCTCTGCTACTACTGCTGAACAATTGATTGACCAACTACAATCTTTCATTCCTGTGATTGATCCTTCCATGAGTCGCATAAATTGGTCATCTAAGGAAAGCCGTAAAAAGCTTAGATTGGATTTGAGCCTTCATTTGTGAATTTTTGTGTCTTTTGGTTTTATTATTATGTTTTGTTATTTCTTATTTTTGTTTCAGTGTGTTTCAGGTTTTGTCAGTGTTCGTTATTTCAGGTGATATCTTTTATACTCTATCTTTCTACCTTAGAACATTGAGGACAATGTCTCGTTTTGGTTGGGGGGAGAGGGTAGTAGTTGATAAAAAAAAAAATTGTTTTTCATTTCATAAAGCATGTGCATAATTGTTGTTACTAGGATGGCAGAGTAAAGGAGTTCTTTTGTTAAAGTGACTCTTGAGACGCATCTTAGTAACCATTCTTAACAAGGTCTATTATAATACTTCCTGAAATATTCAGGTTTACAAACTCTCGTATTGTTACCACTTAATTCTGCTCATATACTTATTTAACATGTATTCTTAAACCTTAATTTACACACACACACTTTAACATATGATTGTGGGTTGCATATTGGATTATTACATTATTTATGTTCTTTTGTTAAAGGTAACAACTAAGGGAAAGGGATTGTATATAATTAAAAAGAAAAAAAAAAAAAAAAAAAAAAAAAAAAAAAAAAAAAAAAAAAAAAAAAAAAAAAAAAAGAAAAAAAAAATGATGATAATAAAAATGTAGATAAGTTTGGTTTCGTAGCCTCCCTAACCTAAGCAATTAAGCCCGAAGGGGTGTTTTAACACCTAATACCCTAAAGTCAACTGACTTGGGAGCTATTGGCCCAACGCTTGTTACATGGGTTGAGGAGAAAAGCTTAAAGGAATCAAACATTGCACTATCTACATATCAGTATCTGCGACCCGAGTTACTAAGCTCGTAGGGGTGTCTTAACACCTAATGCCCTAATACCAACTGGTCTGGGAGTCATTAGCTGAAAGCTCATTACATGGGTTAAAGATGCATGATATTTTTAAATTATATGTATATACATTAAAAAAAAAAGACAAAAATAATAATCCCAACCCAAGGAAGTTAACCTTAAACATTAGAACAAAAATTTTGTTTTCTTCCAAGAAAAGCCCCATAATTATGTGTTGATACATTGAGCACAAAAGAAAGGTTTATTAATATCTTGTTAAGTGGTATTGAGCAGATATATAAATTTAATGAGAGTTTGTTTATCTGGATAGATTAATGGAAGTTAAATGATGAATACCTTGCTTTGTGAAATTTGCAAATTTGTTTTCTATTTTAACGCTTTGATTACTAGGGACTAGTAATAAGCTGGTTGGGGGGTGTGATTAGTACTTAAAAGTGCATTTTTATCATGGTTTTATATCATCATTTTGCACTTGAAGTATCAATAACTCCTTAACTAAAATATGTTTTATAATAATGTATCTAATAATATAAGATACCTATAATTTATGGTAAATGTCTATTTTTAATGCAGGCCTATCACATAAATGAAAGGATTGATTGATGACTTGAAGAACTTAAATTGCAAGGATAAAGAGATGGCCAAACTTAGAAAAGAGATGTCGGTGCAATCCAAACCGGAACACTGTTCGGTAATTGGGTCATATCTGGAGCTACAGATCTCAGATTTAGGTCCAATTTATATGGATGGAAAGGTAAGACATAGGCCTACAACTTTCATATGGAGCCCAAGATCTAAAAAGGCCATTATCAAGTCCAAATTGTAGCAACAACAAAGAAGCCCGAATCTGTCTTCCAGCCCGAGCACTATTCGGTATTTTGGCCATATCTGGAGTTCTAGAAGTCCAAATGAGCTGAAATTTTTACACAAGAAAGCTGAGACAATTGCCTACAACTTTCATGTTTACAACTGGCTCCAATTTTGACGTTATCAATGACGTTTTGGGCAGACAAGAGAAGATAAGGATTGTCACCAAGTCAAAAGTTGGTCACCCACTTATCAATTAGTCATCAAATCAATAGTTCCCATTTTTGGCCTATAAAAGGAGGCATTTGCCATGCATTTAGGCATCTTGATTTCCAGATCAAGATCATGCTCTTCCTTTCTCTCTTTGTATTTTTTATGCTTTGTTTTCATTAATATTAAGTTTATGCCTTTCATTTCCTTTCCTTTACTTAGTTAACTTTTATGTTCTTATTTTGTTTATCTATTTTGCTTTCTTTCATTATGTCTAGCTAAGTTAATTATGTCAAGGTGAAAAGGTTACACTAATGGTGTAAGAATAAGTATAATGTAAACTTAATATGGACTTTAATGTTTGATACTAACATGTTTTATATTTGCTATCTTGTTCACTCTTTAATACTTTGCTTGTTAAATGACTAATCTTGATTTATGTTGTATAACACTTGGTACAACAAATGCTTGGCACTTTCATAGCCCATAATGTATGGTATAACCGACACCTGAGCTATGAAAGGAACTTGATTTGTTGTTAACATAAGTTATAATCATGAATGCTTGACGAGATTTACAAGTATTAGCATTAATTGAATAAGATGACTAATGTAATCATGTTAACAATATATAATCTGATTGGAACCTCCTTTGTGTGTGGTTTCCAATTCAATAATAAGAGTTTATACTATACTTGTTTGATATACCATTAGTGGAACCTCTAACCTTGACATTTGTTATTATCATTGTTTAATCGTTACATTAATATTCCATCTCAAAGTTCTCATCATCTTCTTCTTCTTCTCTTTCTTTATTATTATTATTATTACTACTACTACTACTACTACTACTACTACTACTACTACTACTACTACTACTACTACTACTACTACTACTACTACTACTACTACTACTACTACTACTACTACTACTACTACTACTACTACTACTACTACTACTACTACTACTACTACTACTACTACTACTACTACTACTACTACT